GGCATTGCATGACACAGGTGCACTTACCTACATGCAGGCAATACACACATACACATAAAATAAAAATAATAAAATTTTTTTAAAGTTTTGTTTAAAAACAAAAAAAAAAGAAGTGTTACAAAGTCCCAACATCCAAATAATGAGGGCCTCGGGAAGAATAAGCAGAGGAAGGACCTCAGAGAACAAGGAGGATATCAGTCAGGCCCTGGAAGGGAGGGCACTGGCGGCCTGAAGAGCAGACCTGTAGGACATACAGGCATGGTGTCCTGACCTGGCTTGCTAAGATGTGGAGAACTTACAAACCTCCCAAAGAGCTGGTGACACCCCAGGGGTCAGGAGTTAGGAGTGGTTCAGAGTTCCTGCTGTGTCCCTGGAGCCATGTCCAGGTTCCACCTTGCCTTCTGGATCCACCGAGCTCCCAGTGCAGCTTAGGAGGGATCCAGACCTTCACACACACCATCTACAAATACATGGCAGACATCATGTCTAAAACACTTTTAGCAGCTTTACTTTACTATAACCTGGGAGGTGGAGGTTGTGGGCCCAGAGTGAGTATGGAACCTGGAACTACACTGTCAAGAGAAAAGAGCCACCCTTGATGAGAAAGCTTCTGGATGAGGAGTGAAAACACAGTGAACTAGGTAAGAGTTAGCCCAGAGGACAGCTAAGCTGTGGGTCACATTTTCACATGGTACTGAAAATGCAGAATGCATAGATCTAACTGGAAACTCTCATATCGTTATTTGTGGGGTCATTGAGATACCCTGAAAATGAACATCAAAGTGATCACAGTGGGAGTGTGCAAATGTGGGACCATCTCCAAGTTGACCTGCAGGTGGCTAGGCCTGGGGATGCGGGGAGGGGTACATTGTTTCTCCTGTAGCTTTGTAGAATTCCTTTTAACCTATTCATGAGAGTGACTTTGATGAAAATAAAACTTTTTTTGTCTTTGTGAGACAGGGTCTCCCTGTAGCCCCAGCTGGCCTCAAACTCACAGAGATTCGCCCGCTTCTGCCTCCCGAGTGCTGGGATTAAAGGCTTGTGCCACCATGCCTAGCTCGAAAATGAAACTTAAACACAGTAACTTGAAAACAGGAACAGACAGGCAAGATTCTCTCCCTACAGGCAGCACCCCAGGGTAACCTCCATGAGACTGGAGAGGCTAAGCCCCAAAGTGCTCAGTCTGCAGGTCCTGCGTCTGCAGCAGCAGTACCATGCAGCCCCTGGTAAGTGTTCCCTGGGTAAAGCACTTGGAGGGACACCCTCACACCTGCCTCCCTAAGAGCTCTGAACCATACCCTCTGCTCCCAAGCCTGGGGGTCTCTGTCCATCTCCAAAACTGAATGAATCACTCTGTAGACTTCTACTTTGCCCTTTACAAACTTTCTCTTTCCTCCTCCTTGCTTCCTCCTTCCTCCTCTCCAGAAATTGTCTCTAGGTTTTGTTGAGCACCAACTAGAGATTTATGCTTGGCCTCAAGGTCTTTATATTCCCAGCCAGCGGTAACAAGCCAGGAAGCTGGCACAACTAGGGTGGGGCAAGGGGGTAGGCAGAGGCTCCTGGGGCCTCTCTGAGGAGGTCTGAGCAAAGCCTTGCTGGGAGCTGTTATCCTGGTGGCCACCCATCTCCCAAAGCCCTTCGTAACACCAGCCTTGCCTCTGGCCCCTCTCTGGGTGGCACAGATCCCTACCATACCATCAGACAGGATTCCTGCAGCAAGGGGCTCTCGGATGTTGACTGGGATGCCCTGCAGCCTGGAGTGGAGATCAAGCTAAGCTTTATCAACCCTGGGAGCAAGGGCAGAATCTCAAAGGGGGCCTCTGGGTAAATAGGGTTCTATGAGGACTCATTAGCCTGACAGGACAACTGGACACAGCACCAGGGAAAGATAGGGGGACTGGATGCTGCATGAGGTCCTCTCCCTCAGAAAGACTGATCAGAGCAAGTGTAAGTGTGTTAACATGAATGTGTTGGGCCCTACTGTATGCTTCAGGCCTGATCCAGGCACAGTAGCAAGCACTTGGCCTTGAATCTGGGTTCCAGTGGGAGAAGGCAGGAAATAGAAGCCATACCACAATGTCAGGAAGGCCCAGCCCTGAAAAGAGGCATGAAAGCTCTTAAAGGGGATGCTGCCCCCAGGTCACCTGTGCAAGGCCTGGACAGAAGGGCTTGTGTGTGAGTAGTATGTGTATCACTGAAGGAGAGCCTGGGGTGGGCTTCAGGGAGAACAGGTAGAGGGCTCTGGCCCTGGGGTTTGTGAAACTGACCCTGGAAAGAGCCCAGACCTTGGAGAGAGTGTGTGCTCTGAGTAGAAGTTGGAAGATGCACTGCCCTGCTGCGGCTCAGCCTCCCTCCCGCAACCCAGGAGCAGAGGGCCCTGTTCTATGCATCCCCAAATTCCCAGCCACCACTGAGCCCTGCCTCTCTTTCAGCACTCTGTCCCAATGTCATCGCCCAGCAGCGCCTGGGGGCCCTGCAGTACCTGTGCTACAAGCGGTTTGTGGAGGTGCGTGTATAGAGGCCTGGGCCAATCTATGAGTACTAAGTAGTAGCCTCCACCAGCAGCTGAGCCCTGCCAGTTGTTGCCTCAGATAGGCACTGGGTACAACTGTAAGCCAGACTGACCCCAGCAGTGTCTATCCACAGTCACTCTAAGTGCCTGGGCTGGCAGCTTGAACAGAGGCTGCATCTCACCCAACCCATGGCCACCTGGGTACAGTCCTGACATAAGCAGTTCTGCCCACCTGCTCTTCCACTCTCACTTTGAGCTAGTGGGACCATACCAGGCAGCTGGACCTCCAAGGTCCACATGCTACTACCCACTATGGTGGGACAAATGGGCAAGTGGATTACTGTGCCAAGGACATGGTCCTGTGTAGGAGGCCAAATGCAGGCCTTTGAGGAAGGTGGCTCAACTCTGGCTCCTCCTAGCTTCTGAGCTGCCCCTGGAGACAATTTTCTGTTTGCTTTTGCAGAAAAGCATGTCTCAGGAGATCTGGACCGACCATGTTCAGGTGAGTTGACATAGGTAGGTTGGTGTGTGCACACAACATCCATGAGATGCTCTAATCAATCCCTGTCAGTACTGGGAGAGACAGTGTCCTGTATGCACACTCGTGCTGTGTGGCTTCTGCAAGCCTTGGAGTGTGGTTGTAGGCCCAGAGAGCTAGCCTGCTGCTTACAGGCCACTGGAGCCCCTGTAACTACAGGGATGGGATAAAAACATGGAAGGTGTGTAGGAGGGGCAGAGTGAGTGTGAACACATGGGTGCAAGTGAGGAACACCATGAATACCCTGTCCTGTGTGGACTTGTCCATGTTGCACACAGGTATACTGGTCCTGAGGCTAGATCCCAGGGTTATCGCATAGGTGCAAAGCTGTCCTTGAGCCCCAGAGAGCAGGTGGGAGGACAGAGGTATCTTCAAGGCCCTGAAGTGGCGTAGGAACGTGGCTGGCCTCTGAAGCTTGCCCCCTGCCAGGCAGAGGGTGGCACCCAGCCAAGGCAGGACTGAGCCATTTGGGAGGAGGGACACAGTGAATCACCAGAGAGGAATGCACAGCCTTCGGGTGAGGCCCGGAAGGCTAGTCCCCCCTGGGTGCCAAGGCTGAGCCTGCCGGAAGGGCAGCGGACATCCTGAAGAATGTGGAGGAATTTCCACATATTGTCGTCCACGTGGGAACCCACGGCCAGGGGGAAGCGTACGCCTCAGGATGCCGGGGGCACTGAAGCCATCTGGGCAAGCAGCCCTGAGCAGGCCAGCATGGACTCCTCAAGGGACACTGAGGCCATGAAGGCCAGAGGTCATGAGGGCAAGGGACTCCAACTCCTGGGGGTCCCCACACTTAAGTCATTCTGTGACTTTATTGACTTGAAGACTTGCCCAATGTAAATCTCCTGATGAGACCCATGATGCCAAAGCATAGCCTTGCCCTGGATTTCCCAGGGGGCTTGGGCCCTGCAAGCCTCATGGCTACCTCTCCTTCTACACAGGACAGAAGGTGCTGGGTTGGGTAGCCAGGTAAGGAGAACTCAGACATGTGAGGACCAGGTTACTGCCTCTCTGGTGCTGAGATCCTTGCCCTCTGCCTAGATCCCAAGCTAACAGCATCCTTGGCCTCCCCATTCCTCAAGGGCCCACCAGAGCACAGAGGATAAGGAAAGGCTGGCACAGGATCTATGGATGAGGGCCAGAGGGAGGAAAAGCAGGGCAGAGTATGTTCTAGAAAACTGTTCCAATCCCAGCCAGAAGGTCTGTTGATGCATTTCTGGCCACGTAGCATCAGGGAGTAGAAACTTGGAGGTGGGGAGGGACCTGGGTGCTGTGCTGGCTATAAGTACTCAATGTGACAACCTTGGGGTCTCTGGGCAGGAGAGGTTGCTGTGAACCTGTAGGACTCAGCTGATCTACTGAGATCCCACTGGGTTCTGTGGGAGTTCTCATTGTTGACCCCCACAGGACCAGGTAGACCAGAGCCCCTGGCTACAGGAACAGCTGCTCCAGCTGGTGGCCTCTCATAGGGATCTAGCCACCACTGCCCAGTGTGCCCTGGACCTCTCACTGCCTGAAGAACATCTGCCAGCCATGGTGGCTGTGGAACTCAGTCGACTCAGGCTCCAGGGGAGGTGAGCACCCTGCCTCAGGGTGGGATTCTGCCTGGGACAGCCCCCATTTGGGGCAGTAACTACAAATCACACAGTCTACCACTTATACAGAGCCTTGTGATCAGGTCCATGGTCAGAATCAGCTGTCTCATGGCCTAGTAGGGCAGACAGCAATCCCCAAGCCCCAAGAAGGATTTCAAGAGAGCAGATCTGAGCCCCCGTCTGAGTAAGCCCCAGGCACTCTGCTGCCTCTGTATGTGGGGCAGATGAGGGCCCAGAGCAGGGATGCCACCAGCTCTGTTCCTACTAGGACAACCAAAGCTGATTCAAGACTGGAGGAGCCACAGGAAAATGTGAAGGAGGATTATTACCAGCTGCCCATCACCAGGGAGAACATCTACTTCCTGTCTTCCTGGGAGGACCTGGCCAGACATGAGACTGCACTGCTGCAGGTGGGTGCCTGGACTGGTCCTGACAGCATGCTGCCCACTGGAGTCACTGTGTAGAGTCCTTAGGGAGTGGTATTTGTAGACCAGGCTAGGCCTCTGGCATCCATCCATACTATGCACTATATACCTCACTCTCTGACCTCTCACCCAGGATGCCCCAGAGTCCCTGTAAGGTGACCTGTTCCCTAGGGCAGAGACAGGGACACACTGAGACTGATGAGACACCAGGACTCCTTGAGTACTTGTACTTTCAGGTCACCATGCCAACCTGCAGAAGGTACTTGTATTAGGCTTTGTTGCTATGATCAAATACCTGATGGTCTAGTTTGCTTTCTGTTGCTGTGATAAAATCCTAATGAAGGGACTGGAGAGATGGTTCAGGAGTTAAGAGCTCCAGCTGCTCTTCCAGAGGACTTGGGTTGAATTCCCAGCACCCACATGGTGGCTAACAACCATCTGTAACTCCAGTTCCATGGGATACAATACCCTCTTGCCTCCGAGTGCTCTGCAAGACATGGGTGCACTACATACATGCAGGCAAAACACACACACAAAATAGATGAAAAAAATTAAAAAAAAAAAAAACACTGACAAAAGCCAAGTTAGGAAGGAGTGGGTTTATTTGGCTTACAGGTTACTGTCTGTCATCGAGGGAAACCACAGGAATGGAAACAGAGACCATGGGAAAACGCTGCTTGCTGACTTACTTCCTCTGGCTCATTCAGCTACTTATGCAACCCAGGACCAACTGCCTAGGGATGGCACTGCCCACAGTGGGATGGCCCTCCTACATCAATTAGGAATCAAAGAAATGCCCACAGACATGCCCACAGGCCAGTCCAATAGAGGAAATTATTCAGTTGAGGCTGTCTTACCAGGTGACTCTAGTTTGTGTCAAGCTGACAAAAACTAACCACACAACTTAAGGAGTGTCTTAGTCTGTTTCTCCACTGCTGTGACAAAATACTCTGACCAATACCAACTTGGGGAGGAAAGGGTTTATTTGCCTTACATCTCCCAGGTCGCAGTTCATCAGGGAGCCCAAGGTAGGAACTCAGGGTAGGAACCTGGAAGCAGGAGCTAGAGCACAGGCCAAGGAGGAACGCTGCTTACTGGCTTGCTTCCTTGGCCCCTGTTCAGCCTGCTTTCTTATGCAACACAGGCCCACCTGCCCAGGGGTGGCACCACCCACAGTGGGCTGGGCCCTCCCACATCACTCATCAAGAAGATGCCCTTCAGACATGGCCACAGGCCAGTCCAATAGAGGCAATTCCCCGATTGAGACTCCCTCAACCCAGGTGTGTCAAGTTGACACTAAAGCTATCCAGCACAAGGAGAGAAGGAATAGTTTGGCTCAGAGTTTGAAGATATAGTCTATCATGACAGGGAGGAGAACAGCAGGGGCATGAGGTGGTTGGTCACATTGCATCCACAGGAAGCTGGTGCTCAGCTCACTTTCTCTTTATTCAGTCCAGGTTGGTGGCTACCCGCATTCAGAGTGGGTCTTTCCCAGCTGAATTAACCCAGTCTAGAAATTTCCTCCTAGATACACCCAGAAGTTTGTCTCCTAGGTGATTCTAGATCCTGCCAAGTTGGTATTACCATCACAGTGCCCAAGGTTTCCTTGCTCTACAGCTGGGGCCTGAGATGGCCTGTGGACAGCCAGGCCTACCCCTTCCTCCTCTGTTCTAACCACACGGAAATGGGAAGGCATCATCTGCCAGAACCTTGACCCCTGGGGCAGCTCCAACTCTCTCAGGCCATAGTCTATGAAGATGCAAGTCTAACCATCATGTCTGCCTTTCTCTGTCAATAGCCTGGCAGGGTGATCGGTGTGGATGTGGAGTGGAGACCTTCCTTTGCTGGGGTGGGCCGGCCTGAGCATCCATTCTGCAGGTGGCCGAGGAGGGCTGGGTGTTTCTGTTGGATGTGTCTGTGCTCTCACAGCCACCACAAGGGCAGGGGGCAAAGGCCTTCTCCAGGCTGGTGTCTCAGCTTCTCTCAGACTCCTCCATCGTCAGGTTGGGTGAGCAAAGTCCCCCCAGGCCCCTGCCCAGTCAACAAAAGAAGGATTGCCACACCTCTGCACCAGCCCTTTCCCCTCTACATGCCCCCTAGGAAGCATGACTGTGAGATGGCGGGGAGGGCACAAAATCCAGCCTACCTTGGGTTTTCCACACACTGACAGCTCTAACTCACAGGCTATGGAATGGTGGGAGACCTGAAGAGCCTGGGCACTGTCTGCCCTACTTTGGCTGGTGTAGAGCAGCAGATTCGGGGCAGCATGGACCTGTTGCCAGTGCACAGATGGGTGAGCAGCCAGGCTTCTCTGACCCTAGGCCCTCCTTCCTGCCAAGCCGCCCAGACAGTGCTGCTTGAGTCCAGGTTTCCACCAGGCTGGCCTATGGGCTCTGTGGGGTGAAGACTTGTTCGGCCCTTCTCCCTAGCTGAACTACCATCAGCTTGGCCACAGGTCACCAGGGCCCCAGAGGATACTCAGCAGAGCAAAATCTAAAATCCCCAAGGGAGGTGGCACTACAGGCATCCCCAACCCCTCCTGATATAAGGCACTTTCTTGGCACCCCACTCTGGAAGGCACCCTAGGAAATCAGATGTTTGCCTTGGAGGGCCTGGGTGACAGCTAACTGCAACCCTGTAGTCCACACACAGCTGTCATCGGTGTCCTCTGCTTCGCCCTCTGCACTGGCTGCTGATGGATGGGGCAAGCACTTTACTGGCATGAAGGCAGCATGAGCACAGGATGGTGTGGCAAGTCCTCTTCCCTTTAGGAAAAATGCCTTACCCCCACAGAGCTGTTTTGGCAGATGCAGGTGGCAAACATGCTGGCCTCTTCTGTGGATGGGTCTGGGGGGCCACGAGGCCTGAGCTTCCTGGTGCAGCAAGTGCTGGGCAAGCCCTTGGACAAGGCACAGCAGCTCTCCGGTTGGGACCGCCGACCACTGTGTGAGGAGCAGCTTGTCTATGCAGGTGCACAGGGCAGGGGGGCTAGGCCAGGCTGTGACCCCTCCCCATCCTATCCCTCCTGCCCTCCGTATACTGCAACTGAAGCTATCTCTGCCCCCTCAGCTGCTGATGCCTATTGCTTGCTGGAGGTTTACCAAGCTTTGTGCAGAGAACCTGCCCACCTTTATCAACTGGCAGATGGAGGAGGCAAGAGCGGAGCCCAAGCACAGCAGGAGACAAGAGTCTCAAGAGCCTCCTCTGTGGGAGGCCCCAACCCTACCTAAGCAGGTGGGCGAAACTTTTTAAGGCCCCTTCATCAGAATTCTTGGGGAAATGGGTCTGTAAGCCTGGGACTTATGGAGATGAAGCAGCATTTGGCTATTCTGCTGAGCCCCTCACCTCACCCCAGTGTACCTACACGTGACTCCCCACTGTGTGCAGTCACTCAAGTCCCGCTGTGTGGCATCATTTGATTTCTGCATTTTTTTTGGGGGGGGGGTATTTTTGAGACAGCGTCTCCCTGTAGCCCCAGCTGTCCTGGAACTCACTATGTAGACCAGGCTGGCCTTGAACTCACAGAGATCAGCCTGCCTCTGCCGCCTAAGTGCTGGGATTAAAGGCGTGTGCTACCATGCCCAGCTATTTCTGCATTTCTTAAAGAGTTTTTTTAAAGATTTCTTTATTTTGTGCATGTGAGTGTTTGCCTGTATGTATGTATGTATGTGCACTACATGCATGTTTGGTGGCTGTAAGAGAATATAGGATCCTCTGGAACTGGAGTTACAACCGGTTGTGACCTGTCATGTGGGTGCTAGGAACTGAACCCAGTTCCTCTGCAAGAGCAGCAAGTGCTCTTAACCACTGAGCCATCCTCCAGTCTTTCCTATATGGAGCTCATGGAGCTGGTGACACTGTTAAAACACAGCTGGCCTCACACCACACAGGTGATTCCTGACTTGGGACTTTTTGCAGGTACCTGTGGCCACCAGGGAAGGAGCTGCTCCAAAAGTCCCGGCTTGGGCCTTCCGTGTAGTATGTGACAGCATGCTCCAGGGGCTGGCCCGGAGCTGCGCTGTCTTGGCATGGATGTAGTTGTGCTGGGCAGCCATGAGGACCACCACAAGGCAGCTGAGGTGAGAGTCCTGAGAAGGGTCCAGGGTCATCATGAGGTACACCTGCTCCCAGCATCACACCTGCCTCCTGCTCATTCACAGCTCTCCCAGCTGTGCCAGGCAGAGGCTGGGAACTGAAGGACTAGCTGGGGACCCAGTGGCCAGGAAGAGGCTTTTAACCTGTAATCCAGAAGACACAGTGGGTATTCCCAGTGATGGCTATAGAATAATGATCCCAGCAGGCACTCCAGTGCCACCCCCTGCTGGTGCCTGGGCTACTGCAGCAAATCTCCCATGCAGTGCCTCAATAAGACTCCAGCTTACCTCTTAGAGTTCTGTAGGCCAATGTCCAGGGTCCATCTCCCAGGGCTACAGTAACTGTCTCACAGGGTTGCTCCTAGAGGCTAATGGGAGAATTTTCCTTCTTCCTTGTTCACCTCTACAGGCACCCATGCTCCTTGCCCGTGACCCCTTCCATGTGTCACTCCTGCATGCACCTGTCATAGCCCTGGACAGTCAAGGCCTTGCTCTGGTGATGGCCTCTAGATACACCAAACCCAACAGATAGCATCATGGGGGGAGCAAGAATAGATGATCATATGGCAAGATGAGGCAAGAGACTCAGGGCAGCTTGTTCTCCCAGGAACCTGCTCTTGAGGGAGTTAATGGGTCCTGTGAGAACTACACCCATCCCTTCCATGGGTGACCCTCAGTGGTCTAACTGCTTCCACCTGGCTCTACCTCAAGTCCCAGCACCTCAGCATTAACACATATGAGACCAAGTTTTCAGCACGTGGATCTCTGGGAACACAGACCACATGCACAGTTCTCTCCCACTATGAGATATCAAGGCACTAAAGGCCCAGTTTGCAGACACAAAGAGGACGCTAGTAGGCCAGGATGCAATGTGGCAAACTTTGCTCAGACCTGTGGTTCAGAAACCCCAGTGGTGTAGAAGAGGCCCAGATGTTTGAGTATATGCTACTTCAGAGGCTTTAGTTCATGTCTTAGGAGTGACAGGCGTGGCTGAGGATCCTGAGTGTGCTAGAAGAGGCTGGCAACCTCTGACCACACCAACCCAGTTCCAGCTTCACATGAAGGACTGGCCCTGCAAGATATCTTATCTCAGCCAGGCATGGTGATACATAAGTTTGACTCTGAGGCCAGCCTGAGACCTGCAACCCTTTCTCAAAGTAATTTCTCCAGCTGGGCATGACAGCACATGCCTGTAATCCCAGCACTGGGGAGTTAGAAGCAGGAAGATCAGGAGCTCAAGGTCAGTCTTGGCTAAATATCAAGTTCAAGGCTAGCCTGGGCTAGAACTTCTCAACAAACAAAAGTCATTTTTTTATTTTTGTGTGCTGGGAACCAAACTCAGGATCTCATGCCACCTCTCATGGCACTATAGCTCCAGCCCTTAAAAGTAACTTTTGCTGGCATGTTGCTCAGTGGTAGAGTGCTTGTGCAGTATGCCCAAAGCCCTAGGTGTGATCCTTAGCATTGAGGGGAGGCAGAATGGGAGAAGAGAAGAGGAAAAGTCCCTTATCTCCTGCAGTCATTCCTAACTTCTGAGGCAAGAGACAGAATTCCATCCTGCAGTGACTGAACTAGAACAGAAATTAAATTTTCAGTTGACACCAGGAAACTCTGAGTTTGCCAGGTTTCTTGGCATGGTTTTATTTCACCACACTTTGGTGTCTCCTTCCCTTACCATGAGGTTGCCATCTTTCCATGTTTTTGCTTCCTGCTCTGTGGTATGCCTTGTGCAAGAAAGTGCTCACCGATCAGGACTGGTGCTATGGTCCCAGGGAAGCTGGCCTACCAGGTTCTTCTTTGCCCATAAGTTGCCCCTGCTGGACACTGGCCTTTCCCACATGGTGATGCAGGCTGTTCTTCTGCATTCCCATCATGGCTCTCGCTCTTTGCCTTAGAGGCAGGAGTTGCTCAGGGAAGGCAGGAGGTGGCCACATGGGGACTTGTATTCTCAACTCTTGGTGAGAATCTCCCCCAACAGACCAAGTGTCTTTTGTACCTGTCGTTTAAAGTGTGTTGTTGGAGGGGTTAAGTGAACACACAGCTCTGCTAGGGGAAGACTTGAGGCTCCTGCCTCATCCCCTGGGCTCTACCCCATGTGCCCTTCTCTGTGCTGCTGACCTTGCCTTGTCACCAAGCTTCATCAGGAGGGTGACCATTTGTTGAACCCTGAGGGTAACCTTGGGACCCTCAACACTTGCCCATTTGACCCACAACACAAACTCACTGTCTAAATCCCTGGCCAGGGAGTTCCACTGCTGCCATCTGCCCTTCCTGCACCTGGAAACAGCTCCACGACAGGTTGTGCAGGGCAGGGAGTAAGTCATTTAAAAGAGAAGCAGTGTTCCCTCCATCTATGAGGTGTTTTTGTTTTTTTGTTTTGTTTTGGGGTTTTTTTTGGGAGGGGTCTTTTTGAGACAGGGTCTCCCTGTAGCCCCAGCTAGCCTGGATTCACTATGGAGACCAGGCTGGCCTCGAACTCACAGAGATCTGCCTGCCTCTGCCTCTGCCTCTGCCTCCTGAGTGCTGGGATTAAAGGCATGAGCCACCAGGAGTTTTTTTTTAAGTTCTCTGATGCCTTCCAATCACATTTAATACCCTTCTCTAGAAGATCTTACATCATGTGCTGACTTTTCTCCAGGAAATTAATACTTTCTCGTACTGTTATAAATTGTGCTGTTTTTATTTTCTGCTGATTACAGGGCTGATGCTACCCTTTGCATTTACTCTCATATCCAGCTTCTTTGATGAGCACTCCGTAAGCTCACTGAACTGGCTGCCGGCTCTTTAGAGTTCTCTTTGAAGGGTTATCACCTACAAACAATAGTTTTCTTTCTTCCAGGCCTTCTCTCCTCTGCTTATTTCCATACTGCATAACATTAGTCAGTATCTCAAACTACTGTATAGTGTGGTAATGGTGGCTGTCCTGTTTGCTTCTGATCAGAATGTCAGCAGGCGGTATGGGCTTACAGATAGATACTCTGGACTTAGTGTCTTCTTAAGAAGGATCATCTAGTGCTGACTTTCAGCAATGGCTACTCAGCTGTCTGTACCTCTTGAGTCATAGATGGTAACTTAATGACCTTTCTGGAACATGTCTTATCAATATGTCACACCCCTGGGGTCAGGCTGCTGTCAGGCCTTTCTCATCCTGATTTAGGGCCTGCAAGCATGCTCAAATTTTCTTACTGTTGCTTATTTTGCCACCCCCTCCCCATTTCAACAAGGAGTCGATTTATCATCTTCTAAAGTTACTAGTATTTGGCTTTGTTATTCCTTCCCTTTATTTTTTTTCCCTCACAGGACTGGGGATTGAACCTAGGGCCTCTGCATGCTACACAAGCACTCTACTGCTGAGCTATAGCCCCAGCCCCCATCTCATTAATGTCTATTCTTGTCTTTATAGTTTCCTTCCTCTACTTTCTCTGGGCTATTCCCAAGCAGAACACTTAGGTCTTTTAATTTCAGCTTCTCTCAGTTTATGATATAAACATTGAAGGTCATAAATTTCTCCTACAGCCCTGTTTTCACTTCACTCCAGCAGTTTTGATACACAGCACTTTCATTATGTTTTAGTTCCAACAATTTGCAAAGGTCTATCACCGTTACTCCTTTATTTAAGGGTTTTTTTTTAAGGCTATTCTCCATTCAGAACACTGGGGGGTTTGGGACTTTGTACTTACCCTTCTAAAAAGGATTGAGCTTTAGTGAAGCAGTGTGATCTGCTTCCATTTTTAGAAACTTACTAAGATTTGCTTTTGACTAAGTAACTGGTCCTTTGACAAATGTCCAGGTAGAGGGACTACTCTTACAGAAGACCCAAGATTGGTTCCCAGCACCCACATGGTAGCTAACAATCGTCCTTAACTCCAGTTCCAGGTAATCCGACACCCTCTTCTGGTCTCTTCGGGCAGTGCACCATGTGGTGCACCTACATACATGCAAGCAAAACACACATAAAATAAAATTTAAGCCGTTGGTGGTGGCGCACGCCTTTAATCCCAGCACTTGGGAAGCAGAGACAGGTGGATCTCAGTGAGTTCAAGGCCAGCCTGGTCTACATAGTGAGTTCCAGGCCAGCTGGGGCTAAAAGACCATAAATAAATAAATAAATAAATAAATAATAAATACATAAATAAATAAATAAATAAATTGGGGGCTAGAGAGATAGCTCAGTGGTTAAGAACACTGGTTGTTCTTACAGAAGACCCGGGTTCGAATCCCAGCACCCACATGGCATGTAACAACTGTCCGTAATTCCAGTCCCAGGAGATCCGACAGCCTCTCTGACCTCCACAGGCATTGCACGACACGGGTGCACTTACCTACATGCAGGTGATACACACATACACATAAAGTAAAAATAATAATAAAATTTAAAAATAAAATGTCTAGTCTGGCAATATTTTCTTTTTAACATATTCATTTATATTCATTTTAGTAACTAGAGTTCAGGCTTCAGGTCTCAATCTGTGCTTTCTACTTACCTTTTTCTGATTGTCTTGGCCTTTTGGCTGGGATCAAGTATAACCGTTTCTGTTCTCTTTCCTTCTTATATTCTTTTAGTTTTTTACACTTATTCTTCTTTCCCTCTGTGAGTTTGAAAGTTACAAATTTTGTTTCTATTTTCTTTGGGAGGTTCACCAGAAATGCTCATATGTATTTCAGCTATGATATTTAAAGTTAAAGTCGGGCTGGGGAATGTAGCCCATTTGGTAGAGTGTGTTACCCAGTGCATGAGACCCTGTATTTGATCCCTAGCACTTCATAAACCAGGTGTGGTGATACGTACCTATAAGCCTAGCACTTAAGAGGTAAAGGCAAGACACTTAGAAATTCAGGGTAATCCTCAGCTACATAGCAAGTTTGAAGTTAGCTTGGGCTACATGAGACCATGTCTCAAAAAAATAAAATTCAGATAAAGTCAATACAAGGATATAAAATCAATTCAGCCTTCCAGCTTACCTGCTGTTATTTTCTAACATTTT